GTTATACCACTGAGTGTATTATGTGATGGCTGCCTATTTTCTGCATGACTCTCACTCTATTGTGAACTTCTAGATATCATGAACCGTAACTCCTTCTTGGACAATTGGATCTGCCAGTCCCTACAATGTGTCTTCCTTTTCTATGATATATGATGAAAAAATGTTCAGGATTCAACAACAAACTATGATACAGTAAAGAGTCATTAATACTCAGAAAATAAAGTCAATATAGCTAATTCTGTGTGGGCCTTAATGATGTATGTAGCAGAAAATAACTTCAAAACCAGTATCACAAATATATTCAGAGACATAAAGAAAAACATGTTTAAAGGCTTAAGGGAAAATATGACAATGACCCAATAAATGGCTCTGTAAAGACACAGAGAATATAATAAAGAATCCAATAGAAATGTTGGTGCTTAAAAGTATAATAACAAATGAAAAACTTATATGATGGGTTCACCAGCAGATTACAATGACAGAAGAAAGGATGAGTAGGCTTGGAGAGCAAAAGAATTTATCCAATATAAAGAACAGAAAAAAAAATTACAGAAAAAATGAGTCTTAAATACCTATAAGACAACCTCAGACATCCTATTAACTGCAAAAGGAAAGTTTAAAAGGGGGAGAAGGAATATTTGAAGAAATAATAGCCAAAAATTTAGGATTAGAAGGGAACTTCCTGAACCTGATAAAAAGCATGTACAAAATACCTACAGCTAATGATATGGTCTTTAATGGTGAAAGACTGCTCCACCCTAACATTGCAAACATGGCAAAGATATCCATTCTCACTGTACCTGTTTAATACAGTGGAAGTCTTAGCCAGTGCAGTATAGTAAGAAAAGGAAAAGAAAAAAAAACATTTGAACACCAGAAATATCATTGCCCCATTCATAGAACACATAACTATGCAAATATAAGGAGTCTACAAAAGAACTAGACAAGTTAGTTTAGCAAAGTCACAGGATATAAAAACAACAAACACTCAAAAAAAATCAATCCTATTTCTAGAGAATAACAATGAACAACTGGAAGCTAAATTATAAACACAAGAACATTTATAATAGCTCCAAAAAATATATACTTACATAAATATCTACCAAAACCCACGCAGGATCTTTATGCTATCAACTAAAAAACATTGATTTTTTTAAAAGCAGAGAAAACATAATTAAATGGAAAGACATAGCATATTCATAGGTTGGAAGACTCAACATAGTAAAGAGGCCACATCAACCCACTTTGATTTACACATTTAATGCAATTTCAATAAAACTCCCAAAGGAGTTTTTATAGGTATAGACAGGCTTATATTAGAATTTATATGGAAAGGCAAAGGTAATTAGAATAGATAAAACTATTTTGAAAAAGGAAACAAACCTGGAAGAATCTGGATACTTGATATTATAATCACTGTATGATAGTAATCATTCTAGTGTATTATTAGTGAAGCAACAGACATATCAACAGAATAAAATGGAGAGTCAAGAAATAGACATAAGTATGAACAATTGATTTTTGCATAGGTGCAAAATTAATTTAATGGAAAAAATATTTTCAATAATGTTGGATCAATTGGACAACCATACGCAAAGAAAATGAACTTTAACCCTTACCCTGTATACCAAGATTAACTCAAATGGATAATTCTAAATATTAAAAACAAAAGCATATTATTTTTGTAAAAAGACAGCATAAAAAATCATGAACTATTCTAGGCAAGGAATACTCAGATATGACACCAAAATCACATTCCATAAATGAAAGAAAATTGGCAAGTTGGATTTCATCATAATTAAAATCTTTTCCTCTGGAGTGAGGGAAGGTAGGCCACATCTAGGAGAAAATATTTTTGCAAATAACATGTCCAATAAGAATTTTATCCAGCATATCCTAGCTCTCTGTGAGGCCGAGGTGGACAGATGGTTTGAGCTCAGGAGTTCGAGACCAGCCTGAGCAAGAGCGAGACCCTATCTCTACTGTAAATAGAAAGAAATTAATTGGCCAACTAATGTATATAGAAAAAAAGTTAGCTAGGCATGATGGCGCATGCCTGTAGTCCCAGCTACTTGGGAGGCTGAGACAGAAGGATTGCCTGAGCCCAGGAGTTTGAGGTTGCTGTGAGCTAGGCTGATGCCATGGCACTCACTCTTACCTGGGCAATAAAGTGAGACTCTGCCTCAAAAAAAAAAAAAAAGAATTTTATCCAGCATATATAAAAAACCCTCTGAACAGCATACTAAGAAAACAAACATTCCAATTTTTAAAATGGGCAAAAGATATGGATACTTCATTGAAGAAGATATGTGGATAGCAAACAAGCACATAAAAAGATGTTCAACATCAAAAGCCATTAGTGAAATGCCAATGAAGGCCACAATAAGATATACCACTACACATATAATAGAACAGCAAAAACAAAATATACTAACAACAGCAAGTGCAAGAATGTGGAGGAACTGAACTTCTAATATATTGCTAGTGGGAAATAGAACAGCCACTCTGGAAAATAGTTTGTTAGTATCTTATAAAGTTAAACATACACTTACCATATGACTCATGAATCATGCCCCTCAGCAATTATTCTAGAGAAAAGTTGTGCTCACAGAAAGCCTTTGTACAAAAAAGTGCATAGCATCTTTACTTGTAACAGTAAAAAAACTAGAACCAACTCTAATGTCCTTCAGTGGGTGAATAGATGAACAAATTGTGGCATATCCATATCATAGATTACAAATCACCAATAAAAATAAAATAACTATTGATACATAGAACAACATGGATAAACTTTGGTTAATTTGCTTAAGGCCAAATAGCCAATCTCAAAAGTGTGCATTCCATATGATTCCATTTTATAACATTTTATTAATGGAATTAGAGATAAACAGATCTGTGATTGCCAAGGGTTAGCACTAGGGAAAGGATGTGACTAAAAAAGTAGCATGGGGAGTTTGTGTTGATGCAACATTCTAAATCTTGATTGTGGTAGTAGTTACAAGAACCAATATAATAAACTTTCTTAAAACTATGTATAAAACACAAACAAGGCCGGGTGTGGTGGCTCATGCCTGTAATCCTAAACTCTGGGAGGCCAAGGCAGGAGGATCGCTCAAGGTCAGGAGTTTGAAACCAGCCTTAGCAAGAGCGAGACCCCATCTCTATGATAATAGAAATAAATTAATCAGCCAACTACAAATATATAGAAAAAATTAGCCAGGCATGGTGGCGTGTGCCCAACTACGCAGGAGGCTGAGGCAGAAGGATTGCTTGAGCCCAGGAGTTTGAGGTTGCTGTGAGCTAGCCTGATGCCACAGCACTTACTCTAGCCTGGGCAACAAAGTGAGACTCTGTCTCAAAAACAAACAAACAAAAATTCATGCATGTTAAAACTGTTGAGATCCAAATAAATTTGGTAGTTAGTACTGTAACAATTTTACTTTCCTGTATTAGATAATGAACCATGGTCAAGTAAGGTGTTATCTTTGGAAGAAGCTGGGTTTAGGGCATTTGGGAACTCTGGAATATTTCAGTAAGATTTTGTGAATCTAAACTTGCTGCAAAATAAAGACATAAAAACAATTTATATTATTTTCATATCACTTAATGTTACTTACAAGCTTAAATACATCCAAATATGTTCAATTATACTTATGAACTGAATATACTATATTGTTTCTGTTGGGGGCTTATTCTGGTGTTATGCCTTATACTAATCATTCACTATAGTCTATAATGTACGTGTGCTGCCTGATGCAGCAGTAGGCAGTATTTTCTTCAGACGCGGTTGCTGCCTTGTGACTTGATAAGAGGCCTGGGTTGTTGCACATAAGCAAATGCTCCCAACTCCCACACGGAGGGCCCCCGTGGTGGGAGTCTGGAGGCCAGGAGAACAAGAACTCTGCCAAGAACTGGCCCCCAATTGATGGTTGGTAGTCAATGACGGGTAAGACTCCCCATGGAGGGGGGGGGCGACCTAAAACAGGCACAACCGTGGGGGCCAGGGAGGAGCCGCCGCCTGAGATTGAGACCAAGAAGCACTTCAAATGGCTGCATTGTTTTATGTTGCCTCTCTTGGCCTTGGCTTTTGAGCTCTGTCGGGCACCTTAACTTTAGTCACTGTTTTGAGGTCTGGGACCATGGGAAATTATTCCCTTTTGATACAACTCCGGAATTGGCTGATATCGCTGCTATGCTCAGATGCTCACGTACAAGGAACTAACCTTGGGTCTGGGGGGTATAAAAATAAAGTGACCGGTTCATTGGTCACTCGAGTCATTGTCATGTCCATGTGTGTCTGTGTCATTATTTTATGTTCTGTGTCATCCCCCGTCCTGTAATAGGGCCACAACAGTTTCATTTTGAAGTACTTCAAGTATTCTGAAATAACACAAAGATAGAACCAAAGAAATGCAATAATTACTCACATAATAAAATGAGGCAGGCATAAAATACTCTTGTATTATATATATTAAAATTTAATCCATGAAGAAACTGTCACAATTTAAAATATATAAAATCTGTGACAAGGCAACTAGAAATATGGCTCAAGGTATCCTGTTCCCAAATGCACCTGAGGTGTACTGTCTAAAGTTAGATTTGTGACAAAGACCTCATTCATTTTGCCAAGGCTCTTTTCCTTCATTAAGTTCTCTGATATTTTTCCAAAGATTTTTCACATTGCATTTGTTCATAAGTTTTATTTCTACATTATTTCCTGGCAAATAGTGAAGCAAAATATTTTACTGCAAATCCTACCACATTCCTTACCATTCCTTTCTCTAGTGTGAACTCTCTCAATCTACTGAGGTCATATTTCTCGGCAAAGGTTTTCCCATAATTATTACATTTTTACCAATTAGTAGTTTATTCATGATATATGATCACTTTTGAGAGGGTCAATCTTGCCATGTAAGGCTTTCCTATTCAGCCACATTTGTAGAATTTTTCTCAATATACACTTTTTTAAACATGTCCCAAAATATTTTCATCAAAACTGATTGAAGTTGTTTTGTACATGTTTTATTTGTGTGTATGTGTACATGTTTTCTTTAACATAAAACATGAGGTAACTGATCACTAATTACATGACCACATATTCTGCAATCATTAAGTTATTTTTTGCAAATACTATAATATCTTGAGGACTTAAACTGCCAAGATTTTCTCAAAATGACTACCTATGAATCCTCTTGTGTTTAACAAGGATAGACAAGTGGGCAAAAGCTTTCCCACAATCACTGCAACCATAAGGCCTCTCTCCTGTATGTTTTCTTTGATGAACATTGAGCCCTGACTTTGTAGTGAAGGCTTTCCCACACTCAGTACATTCATATGGTTTCTCTCCTGTGTGAATTCTCTGATGCGTAATGAGATCATTTTTGCGCAAAGATAATTTTCCACATTCAGTACATGCAAAGGAAGTCTTTCCTGTGTGAAACCTCTGATGTTGTATGAGGCATGTCTTTTTCCTGAAGGTTTTGCCACATTCATTGCATTTGTATGGTTTCTGTCCAGTATGGGTTTGCTGATGTATTCCTAGAGTACTCTTCATGGTGAAACCTTTTCCACATTCATTGCATATATATGGTTTCTCCCCAGTATGAGTTCGTTGATGTGCAATGAGCATGCTTTTCCCAGTTAAGCCTTTGCCACATGCATTGCATATATAGGGTTTCTCTCCTGTATGAGTGCGCCGATGTACATTGAGATGACTCTTCTCGGTGAAGCCTTTTCCACACTCACCACAGATGTAAGGTTTCTCTCCAGTGTGAGTTCGCTGATGTCCAGTTAGCCGGATCTTTGCTGGAAAGCCTTTTCCACATTCACTACATACATAGGGTTTCTCTCCTGTATGAGTTCGCTGATGTACAATCAGGCGGCTCTTCACAGTAAAGCCTTTTCCACAATCATTGCATAAATATGGCTTCTCTGCAGTATGAGTTCGCTGATGTATAATGAGGTCAGTCTTCATGGTGAAGCCTTTCCGACATTCAGTGCATACATAGGGTTTCTCTCCTGTATGTGTTCGCTGATGTCTGATTAGAGGACTCTTCAAGGTGAAGCCTTTTCCACACTCATTGCAGATATAGGGTTTCTCTCCAGTATGAGTTCGTTGATGTACGATAAGACAGTGCTTCACTGAAAAGCCTTTTCCACATTCACTACATGTATATAATTTCTCTTCTGCATGAGTTTGCTGATGTGTAACAAGACTGTTCTTCAAGGTGAAGCCTTTCCCACATTTACTGCATACAAAGGGTTTCTCACCAGTATGAGTTCTATGATGTGTGGTAAGACGCCTCTTCTCGATAAAGGCTTTACCACATTCACTACATATATAAGGTTTCTCTCCTGTATGAGTTTTTTGATGTGTAGTGAGACTAAACTTTGTAGAAAAGGCTTTCTCACATACACTGCATTCATGGGGTTTCTCTCCTGTGTGAGTTCGCTGATGATAAATAAGCCGACACTTTTTGATGAAGGCTTTCCCACATTCATTACATGTATAAGGTTTCTCTCCCATATGAGTTTTCTGATGTATATTGAACTGTGATTTCTTGAGGAAGGTTCTGTCACATTTAGTGCATTCATAATGTTTCAGTCCTGTATGAGTTCTCTGATGTTCCATTAGCCTGGATTTTCTGGAGAATGCTTTCCCACACATACTGCATTCATGAGGTTTTTCTCCAGTATGAACTCTCTGATGATCAATGAACTGAGACAACTTGATGAACCCTTTCCCACAGTCACTGCATACATGAGCTTTCTCTATGTTGGGAGTTCTCTGTTGCTTAATGACCTCAGGTTTATTTTTGATAGGTTTTGTACTTACAGGGAATTTAATTTCAGAAGAAAATTGTTCATGGTTAGCATGAAAAAGGGATTTCCCATCTCCATTAAAGTCAGTAGAGTTCTTTAGGTCACAGCTTCTGTTCTGGTTTTCAATACTAAAATTTGATTTTAAAGGTTTTTCATATAAGTCAAACATATCACAATTTTGCTTAAACAAGAAATGACCTCTTTTCTGAATACTTTGATATTGCAAGTGATGCTGCAGAGGATTATCAATTTTCCTGATGTCTAGAAAAGAAGAGAACAGTGAATCATTCTATAATCTTCCTTTAGAGTACAACTGTTATAAAATGCCTCGCTGTGAAGTGACTCTTTAGTGACAACCCTGTATTAGTATAAAGGAAATTCCATGTATATGTGTGTGTGTATATATCTTATCTCTTATCTCTTGCATATGGTAAAACCCAATAATATGAACACACCAAAAAGTAAAAGCAGTAAGTGTACAAACAAGGCTAGATAATTCATAATGTATACAGAGTTGGTTGCTTCTCTAATTCAGTCTTTACAGAATGTATGGATAGTCAAACATAAACAGGTCACTTTTAGCAGACAACACCAAAATTTGGTGGGACACCAGACCATAGAAGTTGAAGAAATACCAGACTACACAGGTTAATCCCAAATTGATGATGGCTACATTCATTTATTCTACAAATATTTATTGAATGACATCTATATGTAAGTCACTATGCTCATATCTGAGATATCAAAACATTTCTTATTTTCACAAAAGTTTAATTCTAGTTATGGAAAAATGAATTAACAAAAAACCAAAGAAATAAGGAAGGTAACTATAGTTGGTGAGATGTGGTTAATGGCACAATGAAGATATGGGAGGTGGGGAAAATCAGGATATAGTTAAAGAAAAGAGAAGATTTACTAATGAGTTCAAAGGAAGAAATGGGAAGAGGGTTAATAAAAGTGAGGACTCAAAGATTATTTCAAAAGTTATATGGCTTCAGCAGTAGGTAGGGGGAAAAATCCTCATGATGAAATAAAAAGTATTACTGAAGTCTGCAATGAAGGGAAAATATAATATATATTGTGAAGCATATAAAGTTTTAAATGATTACTACATATCCAAGTACAAACATGAAGAAATTGGTTGAATATATAAATCTTGGAAAAAGTCTTATCTGGAAATACCAACATGGATGTATACAAATTATTCAAAGAAAGAGTACTGGATGAGATTGTATTTGGAAACATGTAGGAAAAAAGAAGGTGAAGGCATAGGGCCAGGGATTTAGTTATTCCAATAACGTAAAGCTTTGGAAGTTGTTAAGCCCTCTGAAATTAAGGAAACACTGACTATTGTGATAAGGTGCATCACTGGTGATCCAGGTGTATAGAATAAATATCCCAGAGTGGTAAGCTAGAATGTGAGGGCCTCTTGAAAATTGCTGAGAATAGATTTTAACTAACCACACAAAAAAAATGATTAAGCATGTGAGGTAGTGCATATGTTAATTAGCTCAATTTAGCCATTCCACAATGTACAGATATTTCAAAAACAAATTGTATACAATAAAGATATATGATTCTGTCAATTTAAAAATAACAATTTTTAAAAAATTTTACGTTTATTTTTTATTTATGTTTTAGACACGGTCTTGCTCTGTCACCCAGGTTGAAGTACAGTGGTGCAATCATATTTCACTGTAACCCCGAACTCTTGGGCTCAAATGATCCTTTTAATCCAGACTCCCGAGTAGCTAGGAATACAGGGGTGTATCACCCCACCCAGCTATTTTTTTATTTTATTTTATTTTCTGTAGAAACAGGGTCTTGCAATGTTGCCCAGGCCTGTCTTGAACTACTGGCTTCAAGGGATCCTCCTACAGTGGCCTCCCAAAGTGCTGGGATTATAGGTTTAAGCTACCACATCCAGCCCATAGTAATAAATTTTTAAAAAGAAAAGAATGTTTGGAAAAAAATAAAAAAAGAAAAAAAAGAAAAAAATGTGAGATCCTCAGTATTTGATTTCAAGTGTGATAGACTATTGAGTGGTTATCGCTTTCAAAAACTTGCTATTCTTCATTTTATAAACCATCATTAAACTACTTTCCCCAAAGCATCAATCTCAAGTTTAGATGAAGAATTCTACAGTTAAGACAACTAATGGCCTAACTGAATCATATTCTCCTATATTCCTACAGAAAGAGGCAACAATATTGTATAGTAAAGTATTAACTCAGGAAGCTTGGGTTATTCCATCCCTGCACATCCCAAAGAAAGAACTAGCCTTGACTGGCTACTGGAAGATAAGGTCTGAGTCCCTGGAACATTCTACCTGATAAAAGTATCATTTTATGCCTGAGGCCCTGGGCCATGCCAGATAGTGTATGCTAACAATGTGATTTATGGTAGACACATGTTTTGGTATATCTGAGGCTTTGGGCTACATTGTATCATTATGACTGTGACAGGCTAGAGACTTAGAGACTTGGATGAGTTTCCCTGGATAGCAACATGTCCGGTGTTCTCAAACATTGTCCCTGAGAAAATTCAGCACTGTTTGTGCAACTCCACTAGTAAAGGGGAACTGGAAGCTTGTACCTGGTTTGTCCTGGATTCTTCTCAATGCACTTTTTAAAAATATTTTTTCCTTCTTTTTTTGGAGACAGAGTCTCACTCTCTTCCCCAGGGTAGAGTGACGTGGCGTCAGCCTAGCTCACAGCAACCTGAAATTCCTAGGCTCAAGCAATCCTTCTGCCTCAGCCTCCTGAGTAGCTGGGACTACAGGCATGTGCCACCATGCCCGGCTAACTTTTTCTATATATTTTTAGTTGGCCAATTAATTTATTTCTATTTATAGTAGAGATGGGGTGTCGATCTTGCTCAGGCTGGTTTCGAACTCCTGACCTGGAGAGATCCTCCTGCCTTGGCCTCCCAGAGTGCTAGGATTACAGGCGTGAGCCCAGCCTCAATACACTTTTTATCTCTGATGATTTTAATTTCTATCATTTCACTGTCACAAACTATAACCATGAATAAACTATTCCCTCCTCTCTCTGTTAATTTCTACCTTATACATAGTAGGCAAAGTAATTCATTTTAAAAATTAGTTATATAATTCTACTTCTCTACTCAAAACTCCCTACTGTGTTTTAAGCTCATTTGTAATAAAATCAAGGTCATGGATGTCCTTGATAGGCAATATATAACCTCTGTACCAAAATCTCTGTACCAATTACCCGGTTGTCCTTATCTCCAGTCATTTTCTCTTTTGCTCACTATACTCTATCCATACAAGTTCCTCAAACACACCCCAGATGCATATCTGAACTTTCCACCATCTCACATTTGGAACACTCCTTACCCAGGGAGCCTACTCACATCCAACATCTATCTGCTCAAAGGCACCTTGTCAAACAGCTGTTCCCACCCTACAAGCACAGTGCCAACTCCCAACACCTACTGTTCCACTAGCTACTTTAATTTTCCTTCTAGCAATTTCTACCCCAAGTTATGTTATTTATGTATTTGCTTATTATTGATAATATGGTTACTTCCACTGAGATTGAAAGCAATGTGAAGAATAAGGACAAGGTATATTTTTTCTTTCTTTTTTGTACTGCTGTGAGCTTTCAGTATAGTAGGTTATCAAAACACCAGTTTTAAAGGAATAAATCAAAGTATGTATATATGGAGCACACTGAAGAATGTTTAGGAAGAGAATAATATAACTATTTAAAATTAAGACGATATATCACAGAGATCACTGAAAGAGAAACAGAAATCTCATATCACAGGAAACATGATTAACTGGGATTAGGCATCAGAATATAATAGGAAAATAATCAATTTTATTCCTGTATTGTAGCAATGAATAATCTGAAAAAGTAATCAAGAAAACAATTCCATTAACTGCAGAATCAAAAAGAAAATTGAGGAGTAAATTTAACAAAGAAAGTGCCAAATTTAGATTCTGAAAGTTACAAAGCATTGTTGAAAGAAATTAAAGACATGAAAATGTCCAATGCTCATGGAGCAGAAAGCTTAATATGATTAAAATGGTAATGTTCCCTAAATTGATATACAGACTTAGTCCAATGCTCATCAAAATCCTAGCCAGTTTTTTGTAGAAATTCACAAGCTCATTCTAAAATTCAAATGGAAATTCAAAGGACTCAGAATAGTCAAGACAATCTTGAAGAAGAACAATGTTGAAGGACTCACACTTCATAATTTCAAAACTTACTACAAAGCTATAGTAATCAAGAGTATTTAAGAATACATAAATGCCATGTTTCTATGTCTAAAAATAAAAAAAAAAGAATACATATTTGTATATACATATTAAATGTTCCAAAATTGATTGTGATAATTTTTACACAAGTAGGTGAATATACTAAAAAATCATAGAATTATACATTTTGAATGGGTGAATCATAGGTTATGTGCATTATATCTCAATAACACTTAAAAACTATGAGAAAATAAAAGCTTTAGGGCAATGAATGAAGTTGGCAACATCTAAAATGAACTAAAGAAAGTTCAGAATTGGTAAAACTAACTTGCAGCAGACATAAATTCTGATCTGATTTGAGATAGAAATAATACTGGATATTAAAAGTTATTTTCTAATTAGTCAACTGAAATAGTAGACAACTTTAAGACGAGACCCAGCATGTAAAAGAACATATGACATAATGCCAGGATAGGGAGCATTTAAGATGTTTAGTAATGAAGGAGACCATGAATTTAAACAAGGATAGCTAAAAGTATTTTTCTTGGAGGGAAGATGATTCATGTTCTTCACATACAAAATGAGAAGTTACAGGCCAGCTGCCAAGAAAACAAGTAAAATACATAGAAATAAAGTGCACATTAGATAATATTAAGGGAGAAGTCAATTTGCGAATCTCTTACAGAGAGAGGTTAACTTATGGAATGAAGGAGTATTTTAAGAGCTATGAGAACAGAAAACAAAATGACAGGAGACATATGGCAAACTCTCGTACTGGGGAATAAGAGAAGCTAAAGAACCACAAAATGCTCAGAGACCAGGTTATCATGGGGCACAGCATCCAAGGCAGGGTTGGATGATATGAAGGGAAACTACTATTTCCTAATAGGGCAGGAAGGTGTAGTCAGAAACAGGGGGATGCGTTCCAATTCTCTCTAGAGGCCTGGAAAGTGGGATTTCATAGCAAGAGAGCTGGTAACATAGACAGAGACACTGTGACAGTAGACATAGAAAAGGAAGACTTGAAAATCCTAGGAAGAAGATAATTATGCAAACGAAGTCAAGATGTATACAAAATAAACAGGGATGAGATCTCAGAAGGAAAAAAAAGGGTATATATCCCTCCATACAAAGAAAAAGAGCTCCATACAAAGAAAAAGAGCTCTTCCATGGGAAAAAAGAGGCTGCTGTTTCCCCAGACACTCTCACAGCTTTGAGACCTGCTCTGCATGAGCAGAATATGACTTCAGTGGCTGCCTAGCTGGCTGGTTCTCTCACTCACCAAAACAGATTTCATCCTCTATTGTCCACAGTTCTCCTCGTTCCAACTTGAAGAATGTATCTGATTTGCTGGCTTGATACCCTGTTTGTGGGAAATGATAGAAGACTTAGACATAGGGAATTGGGCTGGCAATGTCAAGAAGGGATGCGGGGGTAGCTTAGAAATGTTAGCGTGGCCTAGGAAGATTGCTGGCCTAGGAACCTCTGCGGACATGACAGTCTGCATGAGTGTGGCTGGTTTCCAAATGGTAAGGACATTCCAAGGGCAGGAGGAACTGAAAACAGTACTTCATCTGGGGCAGAAAACTGCTCCAGGACTGCAATTAGGAACATCTCACCTGATGGAAAACCAGCCTGGCCACAATCCTAAATTTATGTTTATTTAGGTTTAGGTTAGAAATAGCTTTGCTGAGATTAACGTATACCCAGATATCTTAATCTAAACAGTAATCTTTATAGCTTGATTGTATGACATATACCCAATTATTGTAATCTGTATAGAAAATTTTTAGAACCTGTTTGCCCATGGGATATCTTTAGAACATGTTCACTTGAATGATTTATGATGATCTTTTCTTCCTAAGATGAATAAATACGAGTGAGGAATTAGTCTCGGGACTCTTGGTCTGGAAAGCCTTGAGTCCCCTGACCATACTCTTCTAATGTCTCTTTTCTTATTACTGTGCGACACCATCTTCAACCCTGTCAGCTGGGGAACTCGCAGCAAAGGGAGGATGTTGTATTTTAGAGACTAAATAGGTTTCACATCTCTAACATCAGGGCTTTTTTCTCAGGAGAGGGAAAATTATACCCTTTTGTGTGGGGCAAGAGAAGGTTCTGAGAATGGACCACTTCAGAGTACTGCTGGTATTCTAAAGATTTAAGCAGCTGAGAAATAAAGGCCACTGACTGGACACTCTCTGAGCAACACGGGGCAGCTGTCCTCACCCACTGACACCAGGTTGCTGTAGTTCTCCAACATCACGTCCCGATATAGATCTTTCTGAGCAGGGGCCAGGAACTGCCATTCCTCCCAGGTGAACTTCACAGACACATCATCAAATGTCAGGGATTCCTGTAATAACACAGTCCTGCTTAACAAAGTGATATTCTTTTGGTGATATGAAAAGAATGTAAAGGCAGTTATTCTGCTTGTTTTCACCATATAAGGAACTGGTGTTTTTTTCTTAATACATTGTGATAGAATGAGAATTGTGGTAAAATATTCTGTGCAGTCATCTATTCATTCAACAAAGTTGAAAATTTAAAGAAGTTTCTGTAATTTGTAGCCATCAAATCCTCTTGCTAACATAAGAACATCTGTAATAGATAGCATCTATTTGCCAATACCAAACTGTATGCTAGAGATAAGTAGATTAATAACACAAGTTCTTAAATTCACATAAGCCTTTAAACCAATATGAAAATCAGTAATGAAGACATCACACATGCTAGTATCACAAGATAATACATATTAAATAACTATAGTTAATACATTTTTAAAAAAGAAACTGTACGAAACATGTATGAAGCACAAGACATTATTAGATGATTAAGCAAATCAGATAAAAATTCTTAAAATAAAATATATATAAACACACATATATACACACACAAATTTATATCTATGTGTGTACATTATTAGAATACCTTATTAGATACAACGAAGAAACAGCTGTAGGAAACCTGCTTTTGTATTTATGAGAAGGCTTCAGTTACAGCCACCACCTATGGGCAGGACATGGTGGCTCATGCCTATAATCCCAGCACTCTGGGAGGCTGAGAAGGGAGGACTGTTTGAGTTCAGGAGTTCAACACCAGCCTGAGCAAGAGCAAGACCGCATCTCTACTAAAAATAGAAAAATTAGCTGGGTGTGGTAGTACTCGCCTGTAGTCTCAGCTACTCCAGAGGATGAGGGACAGGAGAATTGCTTTAACCCAGGAGTTTGAGATTGCTGTGAACTATAATGATGTCACTGCACTTTACCTGGGGCAACAAAGCAAGACTCAGTCTCACAAAAAAACTATCTACTACATCACCTGTGTGAAGAACCATCAAAGACTTATGTAAGCCTCAGAGCTATGTCCCATGAAACATTAACATCTCTCAAGAAACTGGTCTGCTTTCTCTCAGTTGACATAACTTATCATGATTCTCTTGTATCGCTGTCAGAGATATCAAACACAAATTGATGGCAAATGTAACCTACAAGGTCCTGTACAGTCTTGTACATCTGTGTTCTAAAATGAATCACATAGTATGAATCACATGAATAATATATTCCTGATCCCACTGTACACCCAGATTTTTCCAAATCCTGCTATTCCCAATTTATACTTTTCTGTTTAGTGGTACTGATTTTTACAGGCCTCTAAAAATCCATTAGTGAATAAAAGAAAGAATAAAGCAAACCAAACTCATCCGGGCCTGCATCATTTTCTCCATTTGGGAAGTGGCTGCTAACTGGGATGCCCTCTTTGTCTCTCTGGATTAGCTCTAAATTTCTGTTCAAAAATCTCAATCTCAAGTCAAGGGTATCCACAGAAGTGGTGATACTCAAGTCTTAGAATCTCTGCCTCCTTTGAAGCTTCGCTTGAGTTCTCTTGTTCTGAGCACCTGTGGGCTGAAGAGCAAATTACTCTGAGTGGTACATTCTCTTTAGGCCCAGAAGTTGTCACGATTGCTGTGTATTCACCTTAAATCAAGGCCCCAAAATATCTAGCCATCCTTTTATTTAGTGCTTCAGAAGATTTTACACCTGGGCTCGTAAAATATAACATTCTGGATGTTTGGAAGGTACAACCTCCTTTTGTAAAGTGGAAGTGGTATGAATACTGCTAGTAGTGAAAGAAGATGTGGGAAAGAGAACCATCCCACGTGATGGTCCAGCAGCAGTGGAATCCTCAAGCAGATCAATTTTAGGAAAGAAGACAAACACACAGGGCGCACCCATATTTTTCTTCTTTTAAACCATGTGTGCCCATCTACCTTTTGAAGTCTTTTTACATTCTAGGGTATATATTCCATAATTTGAGAACATCATCCTAAGAAAATCATAAACACTGTCTTATTTAATTACTCATCACCATCCATGTCTTGATTCCCTGTAAAGTATTATCAGTAGAAATCTATAAAGGCTACTCAGCAAAAATATCCTTGGGAAATCAAACTTAAATAAAGATATCTGCAGGCAAACCAGAGAGAATTCTTCATCAGAAGGCCCACACAGTACAGCAAACGCTAATGAGTATTCCTCAAGCAAAGAGAAAGAAGCTTCCAGTATAAGCAGAGGAGCAAGAAGGAGTAAAAGGAAAAACCTGGTAAGAGATAAAACCTAAATTATTATGGGCTGGAAAAATAAGAATGATATCATTTCAGCAGGTTTTAATACATAAGTGTTAAAATTTACTAGAAGAGCATATAAATTAGGAGGTTAGTGAATGAAAAAGTACTTACGATATCTGTATATAGTAGTAGAAGAAAAAATACTAATTACCATAACACTGACAAAGTTTATATGTTATTTGTAATCTCTAGTGTCAGCAATAAAATATTTTGTTAAAAAAACATTATTTCCATGTAAAAAAAAACATTTCCTATAATTTCCGTGGGAACCACTCAATTCCACCATCATAGCACAAAAATGACAGTATACAAAAAAATTGACAAATGAGTGTGGCTGGGTTCCAATAAAACTTTATGAACAAAAACAGGCACTAGGCTAGATTTAGTCCATGAGCTCTAATTGCCCAAACTTGAATTAGTGCAGAAAAGCCATATGATTACCTACATCAAGGGTCAGTAACATAGTGTCCAGGGCCCGGACCACCTGTTTTGTAAACAAAGTCTTGTGGCAACACAGCCAGATCCATTCTATAACATATTGTCTCGGGTTGTTTTCACATTACAATGGCAGAGTTGAGAATCTGGGTCTAGAAACATTACTTAATGCAATGCAGTTTGTAAAAATAATCAAAGATGACTTTTGAGGATACGAAGGGGCAAATTATCAGTATTTGCCTAATATGTCTATATACCTCTTTAGTCAGGTGGCTGGTTACAAAATTTAAATAGAATACTTCTATACCATCCACAGGACAAGAGTCAGTATTGAAGAACAGAACATTTCTTGTGAAAAATTTAACATTCTATTGAAAGCTGCCAATAAAGGTATCCATGATAAACCTAAACTCCATTTCTGGGACTTTCTGAAAAGGAAATATTGGCAAAAGAGTGTTGACAGGTCATTTTACCTTCTTCGTTGGATTTTTCATTAAGAATACATATGTTTAAATCAGAAAATATCAGCATTCTACATTTAAAATAAAAATCCTGTTCATAGATCAGTAATGTAAGTTCATGGCTAAAAATGTTTTCTTTCTTTCTTTCTTTTTTTTTTTTTTTTTTTTTGAGATAGAGTCTCACTCTGTTGCCCAGGCTAGAGTGAGTGCCCTGGCGTCAGCCTAGCTCACAGCAACCTCAAACTCCTGGGCTCAAGCGATCCTGCCTCCCTAGTAGCTGGGACTACAGGCATGTGCTACCATGCCCGGCTAATTTTTCTTTAATATATACATTTTTAGTTAGCCAATTAATTTCTATTTATAGTAGAGACCGGGTCTTGCTCGGGCTGGTCTCGAACTCCTGACCTTGAGCAATCCACCCGCCTCGGCCTCTCAGAGTGTTAGGATTATAGACGTGAGCCACCGTGCCAGGCCAAAATGTTTTCATTAGAAAAAAGAAAAAAAAAAAAATAAGGAGGGAAGATGGAAGAGAGAACATGAGTTATAAATACAAATTTTGCAAAAGACAAAACCACAAATAACCCTGGAAGATAACGTTGAAAAAGAGATTTTAATTTCTCTTTTTACTAACAAAGAAACAGATAGACATCATACAAATCACACAATGAGCACAAAGTACAATCAGGATTGAAAAACTAGGTTCATTTCATTCCAGAGTCCACTTTCTTTTTTTTTTTTTTTTTGAGACAGAGTCTCGCTTGTTGCCCAGGCTAGAGTGAGTGCCCTGGCGTCAGCCTAGCTCACAGCAACCTCAAACTCCTGGGCTCAAGCGATCCTACCGAGTAGCTGGGACTACAGGCATGCGCCACCATGCCTGGCTAATTTTATATATATATTAGTTGGCCAATTAATTTTTTTCTATTTATAGTAGAGACGGGGTCTCGCTCTTGCTCAGGCTGGTTTCGAACTCCTGACCTCGAGCAATCCGCCCGCCTCAGCCTCCCAGAGTGCTAGGATTACAGGCGTGAGCCACCGCGCCCAGCTCAGAGTCCACTTTCATTCCACTTTATACCTAGCTAAAATTATTTGTAAATGACTCCTTATTAACTAAACAAAGAAAGCAACTAAAATGCTATTAATAGAATTCTAGTTAATCATATGATTGCAGAATTTTTTAGAGGTATGGTGCTGATGTTTGCAACTTAATTTAAAATATATCAAAACCAACAATAAAAAAGAATGATTTCTCAACAGAGAAATAGGTAGATGGTTAGATAACTGATGGAGCTAATCTAATATTACACTTACAGTAAAATCTAGGTGGTAGGCATAAGGGTGGTAATTTGGAAACTTGTTTCGATACTTCTATATCTTGGAAAATTTTCACAAAAATATGTTGATTAGTGAGAAAAATACTGCAATATTAAAAATTTAATAAGATGATCAAGTATAAATTAAATATCTAACAATTGACATTTTATAGAATGTTATAAGGAAAGGGCTGTTAGAAAATAATAACACACTGCAGTAAAAGTAAATAATCTAGACTGGAGATGAAAGGCAGATATAAATAAATCCATGGGTAAATACATCAAAATATTATTAAAAATGATTCCTAAATCCAAATGTATGCAAACACTTAATGTGAATCCACTCAACACCACTGGTTCAAACATTATAAATAATTTATAAATGTTTATTACACCATATGAAGTGAAAAAGAAAATCATAGTACCACTTATGTCATTTATATTAAGCACCTATCACCCAGGCCCAAAATTGAAATATACTAAAAATTTGACATGGGTTATCTTTGAATAGCAGAACTTACCATGACAAAGATGTTATTTTACTTGCGTTAGAAAGAACTTGAAAAGAATTATCCAAGAGGAATATGCTGGAAACTTCCAGGACAAAGAGTAAAAGCCGCATCTTAAATATAAAACATACTACTTTTAGATATGCGAGATCATTGATCTCGCCAAAAAATTTCATTTCTGAGGGTCCAAAATTAAGGGGTGCTGGAGGGTGCGAAAAGGGATTTAAAAACTAGTCGTGGAGAAGGGTATTGGGCAGAAGGGAAGTGTTAACGCACATCAAGTCTGTTCCAGGAGTCAAGGTTGGGCTCAACCCACCACCGGCCGCGGTACCCAGGCCTCCCCAGGACCAACACCTCTGTACCACGAACACCACCGCCAGGGGCCTAACTCCAAATCCCGGACCAGAAACCTCCGCACGTGAAACCCCTAGACAGCCCCTGGGCATTTAGCCCTGGGACCACAGCCTGCACTCGCAGACAGTCAAACCTCCGGTCCGCAATCACTGAGCACCGCAGACAACAAACAGCAGAGACACGGAAATGGAACCTCGGCAGTCGGCGGCGGATCTCTGGCGATCTTTCAACCACAAACCACAGGCCCCTGTGACCACTGCCAAAGGCACCCCCATCACGCACGCCCTATCATGGACCCCGAAGTGTCCCCTGCAACCGCAAACGCACCCGCGCTCCGCCGCCGAGGGAACTCCTCTCGCGCCACCGACGCCCACCCGTCACCACTGTGCGCGAACAGATCCAGCCGCCGCCGACCCTCCTCCTGCAGGCACCACAGCGACGGCCCTGCGCGAGAGCTCGCGTCCCTGAATTCCGTCGGTTACTGGCCGCACCGCCCAGCCTCCCCCGCCCGCCGGCGGAGAGCGAGTGTGTTCCGCGCAAGATGGCCGCGCCCTGCTCGCCGCGGCGCCGGGCGGCCATCTTTGGGCTTCTGACGCGCGCGAGCCAGTGGCCGCGTCTGCGCGGCCGGCTGGGGTGGCGGGGAGATGAAAGCGCATCGAAAGTGTCCCATTTGCTCAACCTTCCATAAAAATGGGTAGGCTCGAGCTTTCACAAGACGAAAATGGCGTGGGGTAAGTCCTTATCAGCGAGCTGAGAAGGAAACGAAGATGGCAGCGACCCTTTCCCCTTTGTACAAACGTTAGGAAACAGCCCACCGGGCGCAACCATATTGTCTTACAGGACGTGGACGCATGCGCACATCGCAGAACTCGCTCGCTGTAAGGGAGAAAGGGGCCTGGCCTAGAGAGAGGATGCTAGCTGGGTTTCTGGCAGAAAGTGGCATGAAGAGACTTTCGAACACAGAACAGGGTTGGTGGAAGCTCTGAGGGTACAAGGATGGCGGTGACAGACTAGGAAATAAAAGCGGCTGGAAGGGAGTGGGTGAGGTGGCTCACCCCTGTAATCCTAGCATTCTGGGAGGCCGAGGTGGGCGGATTGCTCAAGGTCAGGAGTTCAAAACCAACCTGAGCAGGAGCGAGACTTGTCTCTACTATAAATAGAAAGAAAGTAATTGGTCAACTAAGAATATATAGAAAAAATTAGCCGGGCATGGTGGCACATGCCAGTAGTCCCAGCTACTCGGGAGGCTGAGGCAGGAGGATCACTTGAGCCCAGGAGTTTGAGGTTGCTGTGAGCTAGGCAGACACCACGGGACTCTAGCCCTGGCAAGAGTTAAACTGTCTCAAAACAAAAACAAAAACGGTTGGAAGGCACCAAAGTTACATTTGGATGAGAAGCATGGGGGAAAGGCCAGTAAAAGCTAGAAAAGTTCAGTACCCAATGCGTGGTATTGGACTTTCTCCTTGGACCCTGGTGGAACCAAAAACGAATGGATATAAATTATCCATTCGTCCAAGCAGGACTTCAGAGGGAACGAAAAGTATGTAAAAAAGAAAGTAATCATGCTATCCTACGTGTGCCAATTGGGACTACACAGTCATAGTAACGGTAAACCGCAAATATGGATCACACTAAATCTCTTATAACTATATTGGAAGAATGGGGGCAGGTAAGGAAAGAAAATGCCTGTGGGAATGTGTGTGTGACATCGATAACGAGTATACAGAGAGAGAAATTGCCAAACTATTTTCCAGAGTCCACGTACCATTTTTTCTTCCCACTATTAATATATGAGATGCACTTTTTTTCTCCATATTTGCTATAAAGATAACTTAAAAGGAATAAAAAAAAATGGCCAATTTAAAATCTCCCTAGGCTGGACAAGGTGGCTCACGTCTGTAATCCTAACACTCCTCCCCCAAGGTGGGAGGATCATTTGAGCTCAGGAGACCAGCCTGAGCAAGAGTGAGACCCAGTCTCTATCAAAAATAGAAAAAAAAATTAGCCAGGCATGGCGGTGTGCACAGGTAGTCCCAGTTACAGGGGAGGCTAAGGCAGGAAGATTCCTGAGCCCAGGAGTTTGAGGTTGCAGTGAGCTGTGATCACGTGACTGCACTTTACCCAAGATGACAGTGCCTGACTCTGTCTAAAAAAAAATAGGAAAGAAAAAAGAAATAATATACACTGAAAATAAATTAAACTGTTCTTAAATATAGATGACATGATCATCTATGTAATTTACAACAATATGCAAAATATTGTTAAACTCCTGGAAATAACGTCAGTTTAACAAGTTTGCAGGAGATGAGATCAACAAATAAATTGTTGAAAACCATGATTTTCAATAGTATTCCCAACCCTTAAAAAAACATGTAGTATTTCTTTGCCATTTCCTGTTTAAAAAAAAAAAAAAAACATGTAGTGGATATATATGCTATAAACTACATGTTGACAAAAGAAACTCCATGTTTATGAATTGAAAGGCTTAAAATAGTAGAGATGGATGTATAGACTTCATGCAATGACATTAAAAATCCTAGCAGACTTTATAGAGACAAATTTATTCTAAAAGTAATATGGAAAGCCAAAGGAATTAGAATAGCTAAGATAATGCTGTGAAAGAACATAGAGGAATCAGATTACACAATTTTAAGATTTACTATAGAGACACAAAAATGAAGACAGTGTAGTACTACATGTTAATCAAGAAAGTGTAGTAACAAAGGATTAGAAACACACAAGTAAGGACCTCTGGTTTTCACAAAGGTATAAATGCAATTCAAAGGGAAAAAAGACAGGATAAACAACAAATGAGCTTGGGACAATTGCACATCCATACAAAAAGAAACTGAGCCTCAACTAAAACCTCCCACTGCATAAAATATTGGCTCAAAATAGATCACAGCTATAAATGTAAAAGGTAAAAACTATAATATTTTTCTAATGAAAAAGAAAAACTTTGCAGGCTGGGGTATACCAGGAATTCTTAGAAGTGACCCCAAAATCACAATCCTTGAAAGAAAATTGACAAATTAAGCTTCATGATACTTAAAAATGTTTCCTCCAAAAAAGACCTTACTAAGAGTGTGAAAGAGGCTACAAAGGAGCAAATATTTGCATATCACATATCCAAAAGGACTTGGGTCCAGAATATATTTTAAAAACACTAGAGCAACTGATACTCTCATATGTTGTTAGAATGGCTAAAACAAAATAGACTGAACATAGGGTGGGAGGACACTGAAAATACCAAGTGCTGGAGAGGATGTAGAACAGCTGTATCTCATATTCAGTGGGGATGTAAAATAAAATAGTTCAGCTACTCTGTAAAAGATTTTGGTAGTTTTTTGTAAAGCTAAACATAACATGTCCCAACAATCATACACCAGAATCTTTATCCTAGAGAAATAGATTTTTATGTTCACACAAAACCTTGTACATAGATTTCAGTAGCATCTTTATAATAGTTAAAACCAAGGGAACAATGCAAATCTCTTTCATGGGTAAATGGATGAACAAATGATACAAGTTTGTATACTACTCACTAATAAAAATAAAACAACTAGGATGGGCACGGTAGCTCACGCCTGTAATCCTAGCACCTTGGGAGGCTGAGGCGGGAGGACTGCTTGAGCTGGGGAGTTTGAGACCAGCTTAAGAATGAAACCCCATCTCTCTCACTCACACACACACACACTAAATCATCAACTCAGATAAGCATTAAGAGCAATTTGCTGAGTGGCAAAAGTGCCAAAAGCTTATATACTCCCTATAAATAAAAATTTATAGATTTACATAAAGCTTATATAAAAACCATTTTTAAAATGATCCAATTTTATAACATTCCTGACATGACAAAATTATACTAAGGTGACTCTACATTCCAATCTGCTAGAAACAAACAGTTGATAATGTCTGGAGGGGCATAAAAGGCATTTCCAGCCATTGATTCATAACTTTTTGTTTTGCATGTTAGATTCATTTCTAAGTAATAAGCTGTGACTCTCTGTATAGAGGAATTTTCATTTGCTGATTCTGCCCATTTCCTCTTAATGTGGCTTTTCTGCTTATGTTTAACAAGGGTTTGATAAGTGGAAAAGGCTTTCTCACAACTGCTGCATCCATATGGTCTTCTCCCCGTATGAGTTCTTATCTGATGTACATTGAGTACTGATCTTGTGTGTTGTAGAGCTTTTCCGCAACATGGCAGTTGCACTCATAAGGTTTTTTCACCTGGTGCGAATTCTCTGGATGGGGTAGATGAGACCATATGTTGTGGAATAGGATTTTCCAACTCAAGGTTTACACTACAAAGGGAGTCGTTCCTGTATGGGCATCGCTCAGGGTGTATGAGGCATTTTTCTGGCTGAAAGCTTTACCACATTCATTGCATTCATAGGGCTTTTTTCTCCTGGTGAGTTCGCTGATGTATAATTAGGCGTGCGCGTTTGTGGTGAAGGCCTTTTCCACATTCATTGCATATATAAGATTTCTCTCCTGTATGGAGTTCGCTGATGATATAACAAGTAGTGCGCTTCACAGTGGAAGCCTTGTTCTCACATTCACCTACACTTATATAGGACTTTTTCTCCTGTATGGAGATCGCTGATGTACAATGAGATGCGTTTCACTGTAAAGCTTTTCCACATTCACTGCTATATAGGCTTTCTCTCCTGTATGAGTTCGCGGATGAACAACCGAAGATAGCGCTTCATTGGCTGAAGTCTTTTCCACGATTCACTGCATACATAAGGTTTCTCCCCTGTGTGAGTTCGCTGATGTACAATAAGATTTGCTTTCACAGTGGAGGCCTTTTCCCCATTCATTACATACATAAGGTTTCTCCCACTATGAGTTCGCTGATGAGCAATTAGATAGCGATTCATCGTAAAGCCCTTTCCACACTGACTGCCAACATAGGATTTCTCTTCTGTAGGGGTTTGCTGATGTGCAATGAGACTGCTCTTCATTATGTGTGTCTCTATTAGGTATATAGGCTGTCTCTTGTATGAGCTTTCAGATAGCTTAGTTCAAGGACACCTTCTAGATGATTTTCTCACATTGACCACTTCTAGAATACCTCTCCTGTATGAATGCTC